GGTTGGGCACTTTGATTTGGTGACATGCACTATGAAGCCCTGAAGAGCAGATTGAACTGGATTCTTCACATCCCCAGAGTCCCATAACCTCTACCAGCCAGGATGAGTTCTTACTAGCCACTATTAGAATACCAGCACAGTGTCCTATGTAGTAATGAAGTAATCAAAACTGAATTGGGTCCAGACAGTGTTGCTCAGTGGTTGAGCATCAACCCATGAACCAAGAGGTCACTGGTTTGATTCCTGGTCAGAGCACATGCTCAGGTTGTGGGCTCAATCCCCAGTGTGTGGTGTGCAGGAGGCACCTAATTAGTGGTTCTCTCTCCTTCTCCCTTCCTCTCTCTAAAATCAATAAAAACATCTTTAAAAAAAATTTTTTTAATGAATTGGATTGGAGGTTGTTTCTAGGTGGGATTATGGTTACAATAGTAATGGAAATAATGAGGCAAATCACAGAAACAATTTCAAAGGAGAACTAAGAGGAATTGGGCACGTATTAGACATTAGCTAATATTAGATCTATATTTCAGGTTTATTATATACTAGAGGCCCGGTGCACAAAAATTTGTGCACTGGGGGGGGGGGGGGGGAGGTCCCTCGGCCCGGCCTGTGCCCTCTCGCAGTCTGGGACCCCTCGGGAGATAACGACCTGCTGGCTTAGGCCTACTCCCCAGTGGCAGAGGGCAGGCCCAATCCCTAGGTGCAGCCCCTGGTCGGGCTCAGAGCAGATTGGGGATTTGGGGCGCCGCCCCCTGTCATGCACAGAGAGGGCGTATCGGGAGGTTGCTATGCCACCCTCAGTCACGCTCAGGGTAGGGTCGATTGGGGGGTTGGGGCACCGCCCCGTCACACTCAAGGCAGGGTTGATGGGGAGGTTGCGGCGCCACCCCGTCATGCACAGAGCAGGGCCCATCAGGGGGTTGGGCAGCTCCCCCCTGTCACGCACAGAGCAGGGCTGATCAGGGTGTTGAGGAGCTCCCACCTGTCACTCACAGAGTAGGGCCGATAGGGGAGTTGGGGCACCGCCCCCTGTCACACACAGAGCAGGGCAAATCAGGGGGTTGGGGTGCCGCACCCTGTCATACTCAAGGCAGGGTTGATGGGGAGGTTATGGCTCTACCCCATCACACACAGAGCAGGGCCCGTGGGGGGCGGTTGGAGCGCCGCCCTATATCACCCACAGAGCAGGGCCGATCAGGGGGTTGGGGTGCCACACCCTGTCACACACAGAGCCACAGGGCGATGAGGGGGTTGGGGAGCTCCCCCCTATCAGGCACAGAGCAGGGCTCATCAGAAGGTTGGGGTTCCTTCCCCTGTCATGACAGAGCAGGGCGGATAGGGAGGTTGTGTCCCTGCCCCGTCACACACAGAGCCGCAGGACAATCAGAGGGTTTGGGCGCTGCCCCATCACGCTGATCCTGGTGCCGGGAGGCCTCGCGGCTCCGCTGATCCCGGTGCTGGGAGGCATATTACCCTTTTATTATATAGGATAGAGGCCTGGTGCACGGGTGGGGGTCGGCTGGTTTGCCCTGAAGGGTGTCCTGGATCAGGGTGGGGGTCCCCATTGGGGTGCCTGGCCAGTCTGGGTGAGGGGCTGAGGGCTGTTTTCAGGCTGGTGGATGACTGAAACTCCCAACCACTCCTTTTTTTCTTTTTTTATTCTGGGCCAGCTTTAGCTCTGAGTCTTGGCTCCAGCTCTTAGGCCTCTGCTGCTGAAAGCAGGTATCTGGTTTGTTTGGGTTCTATAATCAAAACACTGTTTCAACTCCAGCTCTGAGATCCTGGCTGGCTGAAAGCAGGTTTCTGGGTTTTGTTTAGCTTCTATATTTGTAACAATGTTTCAAACTGCAAGCTCAGAGGCCAGCAGCCGCAGGCAGGAAACGTTGGAGTCCTCCGTCACTGAAGCAAACAAGCCTCATGTTCGCTTCAAGCTTCCTGGCTGCCGGCCGCCATCTTGGCTGGAAGTTAATTTGCATATCGCCCTGATTAGCCAATGGGAAGGGTAGCGGAGTGACACCAATTTGCATGTTTCTCTTTTATTAGTGTAGATAGCAACCAGTGTTGGAGCACTTGCATTTGACACATTTTAGTTTGTAGTTGCTGTATTTGAAATGAAATGAATCACATTTCAGGGTAATGATACTATAAGTAATTATTTTTACCACTAAAATTTTTCTCTTTACTTTCTACTCCTACTCCCTTGATCCAAGCTCTTCTCCGTTTCCCCTGGATTGTTGTTGGAGTTTCCTCTGAACTCTGGCCAAATAAACCTTCTCATCTTCAAGCATATCTCCCACCCTTTTGTTCATACAGTTTCCATCGCCCATGAATACCCTTTCTTCTACCATTTCATTTCCATTACCAATTGGAATCCTTGTCATCCTTCAGAACCAGATCACCTGCTGTCTTCTCCATGATTCTGATCATCCCAGCTAGAACTGACAGCTTTTCTTTTTGAACTCCCACAGCACTGCATCTGGTCAGTTGGTTAACTGGGTATCCCTTTATCAGCATTTTATTTGTATCCCAATGATGATGGCACTGTGTGTTACCTATTCAATAAATGTTTATGACATGAATTAAAAGTATTTTAAAAACTGCAAATCCCTTTCCAAACAAGAAGTTTTCCTTTGAGGTAAGTTAGTAGTCAGCTTTACATTAGTATGTATCTTTTGTAATATTGAAAATGTCACATCACCATTGTTGGGGATACTCAGACAAAGAGGGGACTTTATATTGGGAATAGAAAAAGTTAAAGACTGTGCAGGATTAGCCATTTTTGCAAGGAACCTTTTGGTTGGATAAAGGCTGAAGAAAAAAGCCTGAACCTGAACCTTTATTGCTGCACTCCTATCCCTTAGGAGGGAGGAGAGTGAACTGAATATAAGGACTTCAGCCTAGCTAGTGTGGCTCAACCTATGAATGGTTTGATTCCCAGTGAGGGCACATGCCTGGTTTGAGGGTTCAATTCCTAGTAGGAGATATGCAGGAGGCAGTCGAGCAATGATTCTCATCGTTAATGTTTCTGTATCTCCCCCCTCTCTAAAATCAATAAAAACATATTTTAAAAGAAAAGAAGGATTTCAGCCTTTGGGTTCTTGGAAACCCAGGGCATTGGCTTGAATGGGGAACTGATACAGAAAGAAAATGTCTCTTAGCAGGCATATTATCTGCAAAAGGTCAAGCTCAATTTTAAGCATCTCTTTCAACCTGTTTGGGAGGTGATTCTACAATTTCTAGGCAACAAGAAACTTAGTTGTATGATGCCCATTTTTACTAGTATAGGATGTGGAAAATGTTATCCATAGGCTGTTATTTTTAATGAAGGTTAAAAATATATTTGTTTCCTTGGTGGTTCATTCATGACTTACTACTCATTTTGCTCTATAAAGTCTTGGGTTCTTCAATCAACCAAATTCTACTAGGATTTTACTGTAGGCTGGAGAGGACTACTATACTAATATTCAGCCAATGTTTTCAGAACTATGAAACCTGCCTAAATAGATGCCATATTCCACAGTGCAATTGGCAATTCTTGAGGATCCTAGATTGTGACATGCACTCTTGTGGCTCTGAGTCTTTACCCATGCTGCTTCCCTTGACTAAAATACCTTTCTTCTTCTTCTTTTTTTTGCAATGTTAACCCATACTTATCCTACATAATTTTTACTCAGATATCATCCCCTCCAAAAAGCCTTCCCTGAATGCTTTCATTAGAGCCACTTTCCATGATTGGGTGCCACTCCTGCCTGTTTCCATGGTAGCCTGGGCTTTCATCAAAATACTCACCTCTGGTGTGGCAGTTGCCATCCACAGGTCCTCCTCCCACTGTGTAAGCTCCTCTAGGAGCCTTGTAGGTGCTAAGTAATCAGCAGCATAATTCCAAGGCCCTGAGGCTTCAATAACTGTTCATTGAATGAATAAATGCAGTCTTATAGGAAATGTAATGGAAATCCCTCTACCCGGCAGATGTGAGTTGTCAATATTAGTTGTCGGATAATTTTGGAGAACTGTCACTATGTTCTCCTTATCTTCTCCCCACCTGGTAACTAGTAGATAAACCAGCCTGAAAGGGTCCTATCCAACTCACTATTTAAGAATAGTGATTATTTTTACTATGTAGATCCCCGGGAGAAGAACAGATTTAAACATTTTTGTGTCTCAGTGAACATTTGAAGTTTTGCTGCCAAACTAATTAAACCCACCTCAACAGTCTTTCTGATTTTTAAAATAGTCCACTGGAAAGAGCTCTCTGGGGATACGCATTTTCATTTGTAATATAAATCAAGTGTTAACAATCTATCACATCCACCTAGATCTCTCCTAATAATTCAGATTTTCCTGTTTTTTGTTTTTTTCTAGATTTGGCAGGAGTGCTACAGGTATTTATGATTCAATTGTATAGTTTTTCACAGAACAAATGATAAGAATAAGTGTGAACCCATAATTATGTTGAAGCAGCATTTCCTTTCAGGCAAACAATCATGAGCTACCTATAAAGAATTGGCTCTAAAATCTTGAAAATAGGTCTTGCTTTAAATTTTCCCCTGAAGGTTCTAGTGGCTGATAATTATTCCCTTTGCTTCAATTATAATAAAAGGGCGAGAATGGTTTGATAAAATGTAGAATTAAAAAAACAAACAAACAGCAAAAACCCTATTTGGGGTCAGAGTAGGATGACAGCCCTTAGTCCTGGGCCGGTGGGTGGCACTAACCAGTGATGGGATGCGATGCCTGTGAACTGTTGTAATCCAGAGTTTCATAACATAAAAACAACTGCTGACGAAAGTTCACCTGAAGTAGCATTTTGCCCCTAATTTCGTTTGCATATTTTTGTTTTAAAGACCTAATGCGTAACGATAACGACGCCTCACCCACCACCCCGCGAGCGCCGCTCCTGACCCGCCGCCCCCGGCCGCGGTCCAGGTTCGCCCGCCCCTCGCGCCGGCCGGGCGGGGGGCACAGGTGCCCGAGCGCGGCGACCGGGCCGCAGCGCCGCCCTGCGCTTCTCCCGCCGCGGCCTTTCGGGAGTCCCGGGGCGCGGGGACTGGCCCTGCGCCTTCGCCCATCAGCCTACGGCGCCGCGAGAGAGCGAGCGTGAACGGAGAGCGAGCGGCGGCCCGGGGTGTGGGCCCGGCTCCCGGGAGCCAGGACCCCGGCCGGTCCTGCCGCCTCCGCGCCGCGAGGGCGGGGGCCGCGAGCAGCTAGGCGCGGCCGGCGGGCGCCGGGGGTTGACGGGACGCGCGCTCCGGGCCGGCGCCCGTTCGAGCCCGCGCCCCCCCCCCCCCGCGTGCCCGCGCCGCTGCGCGATGCAGTGTGGGGAATGGCTGGGGTTGGCTGAAGAGCGCACAGTGGAGTTTTAATGTCCGCCATGTTGGCCATGGCGTATTGAAGAGAGCGAGCGAGAGAGGCGCGGAGCGGCACAGCCTCCCACCCTCCCGGCTGCTGTTAAGGCCCGGACGGCGAGCTCCGCGCTCCGCCCCTCAAGTCCCCGGCAGCGGCAGACGAGTGGGGACCGATCCCCCGGTTCTCCATGATCCCGCTGGCCGGGGCCGTTTCCCCAGAGCAGAGAGGTATCTGCTGCGCCTGAGATGAGTAAACTGTCGTTTCGGGCGCGGGCGCTAGACGCCTCGAAGCCGCTGCCGGTTTTCCGCTGTGAGGATCTGCCCGACCTGCACGAATACGCCTCGATAAACCGAGCCGTGCCGCAGATGCCCACCGGAATGGAGAAGGAAGAGGAGTCGGTACGTGTTAACTCCCCTGTCCGACCCACCGCCAGGCCCCGCTCCCTCCGCTGCCGGCGGCGGCGGCGGCGGAGCACCAAACCCACACAAAATGGCCGCCATCTTCTCTGCCGCCGACTCTCAGTCGTTGCCGGCCCTTTACCCCGCTTCCCCTGGCCTCGAATCCCGGCCGCCGCGGCTAGGCGGGACCTCCTCTGAGGCCGCCCGCCGACTCTGGCTACTTGTACCCGGGTACTACGGAGTTCGGGAGCCCGAAAGGCACAAAGGGGTCACGTGACGAAGCTGCCGGCAGCCATTTTGTGGTCTCAGTGGTCGGGTTGGGCCTTGTGCTTCTGGAGACGGGAACGGGCTCGGTCGCGGTGGGGGTGCGGCGCGCCGGGTGTGAGGAGGACCCGCCTGCAGGCCGCTTCGCGGGCCACTGGGTGGCGCTCTAGGGCCGCCTCGGCTTTCGCGCGCCTCTGGCGCCTGTGAGCTCAGGTTCTGTGCACCGAGGGGGCGTTTCACTTCCTGGTGGCCTGGGAATGTGGGGCCCCATGTGGAGCCTTCGGAGGCTTCAATGTTGCTTGCAGGTCTTTGAGACTTGATCGCCCCTCCCTGCAACCAAGTGTTGAAGGGACTGCATGTTTGCCCCGACGACTCTTTCAAAGCAGATTTTCTGTATACTTGGCACTTCTGCATCCATTCCCCCCCAGTTCTAGGTAGTGGAAGGATGATAAACTACTGTCTCTGAGTTTTTCTCTGATCCTTGAGAATATGTTGCGGATGATTGCAGATATTTTTATTAGTACGTGGCTCGTCTAAAACCTGTAATTTTATTATCAGGTTTCGTTTTGTGTGTTTTTTTAAATAAAGTTTTAAGTTCGCGTTCTAATTTCTCATCACGGGGGAGAAAACACCCACTTTCAAGTAGATAGTACGGATCTAAATTTCAAAACGGACCCTTTCTTATCCGTAGCCTTGCTAAAGAAACCTTAATGTTAAGATGTCTAATTAGGATGGGTTTCAGTATTTAAATATTTACAGCTAATAGACATTGCATCATAGCTGTGGCTTTACCTTGTCGTGAAGTTGGGTTCACACACAAGGATAATAGAATCTTCCTCTCATTTCCCCCAGATCCTTGACAGTATAACTTGATGACTTCTAATCCTAAGGAATTGCATACCTTGGTTTTCAGGTACAGCCGTTTAAACAGGGTGCAGTGTATTGACAGTTCAAGGAAGTCGAGGAATCGCTGGATTTGTGCCCTACAATTTTGTTGTGGAAAATTGTACTGTAATACCTCTATTTGGTACTGTAAGAATTTTAAATGTAGAAATTATACTCTGTAATGTTGATTTTGAAAATAAAGCTGTTTAAACTGGGTTGTTTAACCTTTTAAAGTAAAACAGTTGTGACAGTCGAATGTTACTTTTCAGAGTAGTGTCTTAAATATCACTTTACAGGTAAGCTAAATAATAAGTGTATGTAGTAGTGGAGATTGTCAGTACATTATGAGATAGAACCTTTTATTTTACTTGTATCATCTTTAGTGTAGAATGGTGCCATTTGTTTATTTTTAAATAAGTGATTTGTTTTTAAAAATTAAAGTACTTGTGACTGCAGAATCTTGTCTTTTGGTTTTATTTTTGTTTCTGTTTATAAGTTTTACAGATAATACTTTAAATTTGGGGTGTTGCAGTTACACTGCCCTGGAAATTAATTTGTAGTTCTTGTTTTGCAGCCAAGGAAGGGAAGAGCCTTGATAAAAGCAATATAGCACTGTAGTACACTTAGAAATTTAGTTAAGTCGAGCTTTAGTTAAGTCTTCGGCAATCCCAAGAGCAACAGCCTGAAATCAGAGTTGACTTCAGCTGAAGTATCAATATGCTTTTTAAATTTTACAGATAATTCCTGTGCACTGAAATAATTCTGAATTTTATAGTGCAATAGGTATCATTAGTTTGTAACATGTGGAGAGCCTATTTTTGAGGGACATGAGGGGTGTTTTTTTTCACACAACCTTTTTCTGTCATCTGTTTAGAATTTATTTCACTTCACATCCAACTAAAACTCTGATCTGTGAAGCATAGATCTCAAGAATAGATAATGAACTTAATAGAAGAATGTGAATAGTACCAGGTAAACAGCTGCTTTCCAATCCTGTAGTTCATGCTGGTAGTTAATGGCTGTATAAATCACAATAATGAAAGTAGCATGTTACACAATTATGAAAATGTATACTAAGAATAAAGGTCATTGAATTGAGTCAACCTTAGAAAAAAACTTTTTGATAATTTGCTGATACAATGATATATATACTTCTTTACAAAAACAAAGGATTAAAACAAACGTTTGCCTTTGATTGACACATTGGTTATGGTGTCTTTTAGGTAGGAGAGACCCAGAACCTGAATCGAATGTCCCATAATCCAATGTTGATCAAAGGTGGGACAGATTTAGATGAGGAAAGTTTTGTGTACACCACCTCATTAAGAAAGCATTTCATGATCAAAATGTATCTGCAAAATTGTCAAGTGAGCTATACCTAAAATATGGTAATTGCTACCATATTTTGTTTCTATGGTAAACTTGACAGAAATTCTACATCTTAACACTGGGAAAATAACACTTATTAATGTACTCCCATTTAACCAATTTTTATAATACAAGCTTAATACACTGACGTAATGAGGCATGCCTCTTAATTTTTTAAAATATATTTTATCGATTTTAGAGAGGGAGAGGGAGAGAGAGATAGAAACATCAATGATGAGAGAGAATCATTGATTGGCTGCCTCCTGCACGCCCCCTACTGGGGATCAAGCCCGCAACCCAGGCCTGTGCCCTTGGCTGGAATTGAACCTGAGACCCTTCAGTCCGCAGGCTGACTGACGCTCTATCCATTGAACCAAACCAGCTAGGGCATGCGTCTTAATTTTTAAGAAACTAAGTAGAATTCTCCTCTTCCCCCCTAAATGAATTTTTCTCAACTTTGGAATTTAGTTATTAGTGTTTTTTTGTTGTAGAATTGAAAAGTAATTTCAGATTATAATAGAGGGACTTGATCGAGATCAAGGGATTAAATGTTTGAATTGATGTAATGTGTTGTAACTTGGTAAATCAAAAAGTAACAGTTGAAGGTTTTAATTTAATGAGTTAACAGGAGTAATTTTCAAATCATAGGAAGTCAGTAGACTCAGCTGTCAATATGAGATAAATGTGTCCCTTTAGGGGTGAAAAGGACAGAAGTTAAAGCATTTGGGAAGGGGGCAAATGTTGCACCATTATAATATTTTTCCCCGTTATAATATTTTAACTTTTTAAAAAATATTATAATCTTAACTTTAAGGTCTTAACTTTAAAATTAGAAGTGTTAATGTTTAGTGCCACAGTTTTACCTTTAATTGAAAGGAAACTTTTCTAAGATGTCAGTAGTATTAACTTTTAAAAAATTATTCTGAAAATGTTGGCTTTAAAGTGATATTTAACAAATTGGAGTTACCCAGTTCCTGGAGTGGTTTAACTTATTTCAATGGGATGAATGCAGGCTGTGTGGCTGCATTTATTATAAGGGACAGAGAAGAACCGTTCTTGTCCTTGCTTAGATGGGGTTGGGTAGGCTATGTGATGTAATTAAGATGTTGATGGTATCACATTGATATTACCCTACACAGCCACCTTAGAATAGGGGCCTAGCCGTCGAAGACCAACACCTAGTTTAAATTTGGTTCTAATTAGATGGAATAGTGTCATACGCTATGCTTTCTCTCCTCTTAAAACTATATTCTTCATTACTGGCCCAGTATGCAATCTTATTAAACCCAAGTTAAGGACCGTTTACAAAGCAGATAGGTGGTTTTTGTTTTAATTAGGAGGAAATTGAAAATATGTACATATCTCTGACACGAGAAAAAATGGTTAAGCACTACATTTTCAAAACAACAAAAATCTAGTGTTTTGTTTTTTATAAAAATAAGTTTAAATTACTTTAAGTTATAAGTTTAAAAGTTTGATTTCTCACTTTCGAAAGAAATATATTTCCTTTAAAATTTTGTAAACCAAGGTTTTTTTAATCCAGATAAAATCACAAGTAATTGAGAAACAATGATAAAATCTAATTTCAACTTTTACCCTGCCCAAGATATTTTTGAATAGAAGTTTCTAAGTTGGGGTTTTGAGAGTTACATGAAATGATTACCATAATATGTATATAAAATTTTTGATGGTATATTTTTCTAGGGAGAAAGTTCATATTTGTCACCAATTTCTCAAAGTGTTGGAAAATTGGTGGGTGGGGCTGGAGGCATGTAGAAAACTCAAAGATCTATGCTGTAGAAGTTTCAAATGGAGTTACTTTGGTTTTATCAGAATGGCAGTTATTACATGGACTTAATTAGGAGAAGATAATTGAAAAATTAAAGACTCAAGAAGAGACAAAAGGAAACTCTCGAAAACTATCGTACTTGGGTGCCTAAAGTATTAATATTAGCTCCTATTTCAGTGTTCTATTTGATATTTAAAAATTTGGATTAGTACCATTTGTACTTTCATTTTCTTATAAAATAATAATAATGAAAACTAATGGGCTTATATGTAGCTAATGGTGTTTGTGAGTGCTTTGTGGTATGTAATGGAATTTGTGCTGAACTATCTTTTCTCTGTTAATCAACAGGACTTAATTAAAAGTACCATCTAAATATAGGGTAGCTTAAATCTGTAAACAAGGAATAATAATCTGTGCTTACAAATTCATGAATTTGTGGCTAGGATTAAATATTAAACCAGCCACTCCTACTATGGACTCGGTTTCAGTTTTATCTTTTTCATTCTACCACATCATGGTATGTAGTAGTAGTCATTGTAAAGAAATATGTGTATGTATGTGCATATATAATGGCAGGAGTTTTTGTTTGTATATATAAATGTGTGGTTCTGATTATATGGTTCAGTTTTCCTGAAAAGTTAAGGGGACTTGTTTATCAGCAATTGGTAATTGGTTAAAACAGTAATGGAAAGCA